ACTTTGAAGAATGTACATTAAGAGAGTAAAAGGATTTCTGTAAGGATCATGGTAACTCATTTCAATTTCATAATACATTTCAAATTTGTGACGTATTTGTCCCTTCTCAAACCACTGAAGTTTCCTATAAGGGACTTTGGGGGAAACATAATTCCTTTACTTTGTATTTTGAGATAATTTTAGTTTTATAGAATAATTACAAAAATAGTTCAAAAAGCTACTTGTCTTTTATCAGCATCTTCTAAGCCTGAAAACCCACAGAACCTTAGTATAATTACCAAGAGACTAAACTGCTTTAGTTCATTGGCTTTATTGATACTCACCAGCATTTTTTCCTAATATTCTATTTCCATCAAAATCTAATCTAGCCTGCTCAGTTATTCTGTCTTCATAGTTTACTTAATCTGCAACAATTCCTCTGTCTTTCCCTGTCTTTCATTAAATGGCCTTGAGGCTTTCAAATATTAACTATTCAAGTGAAAGGCTGGAACAAAGTCTTCCAAGAAAATGGCCTTCATAAACAGGCTGGGGTAGTAATACTAATATGAAATAAAATACAATTAGTCAGAAAAAAAACAAAGAAGGATATTTCATATTAATAAAGCGAAGTCTCCACTAGGTTTCTGTCTGATGTGGTTCCCTGGTCTTGATTATGTTCTTTCAGTTATATTCCTCCTTTTAGTATCTTTTTTTATACTGCTGGCTTCTCGTTAATGAATTCCTTTTAATTTTTGTTTTTCTTTTTTTGTTGGTCGTGGACTTATGACCTCTGGAGAGTGAGACAATCCATCGAGGCACAGTGAAAGGTGGATAAAAGAAGTTTATTATACTATTTACACCAGAAAGGGGTCCTGCTACTACCTTGTCCTGGGCTAGATACCCAGAACCAAGAGCAGCCTCAACCACCAAACCTCCAACCTTTATTAGTTTGTCTGTAAACCACCAATTAGTCGGTCTGCAAACTTCCAAACTTCAGACCTCCAAAACTCCAAACCTCCAATGGGGAAGGCTTTTCCTTTTCTTCCCTTCCTCCTCTCTGCAGGCCTCTCCACTGTCCACAAGCCTGTCCTGCTCTGCTCCGGGGGGCGGGGGGGGGGGCGCTTCTCCACAGGCCTCTCTAGAGGAAGGTCACAAATGGCCTCCAGAGGAGGCCCCAAATGACCTCCGGAGAAGGTCCTAAATGGTCCTTGGAGGAGGCCCCTCAAGGAGGCCCGAATGGCTTCCAGAGGGGCCTCAAATGACCTCTCAAGGAGGCCCCAAATGGCTTCCTCAAGAAGCCCCACATGGCCTCTGGAGGCCGCCCTGCCCTGCTCCTGTAGGCTTTCCCCTCCTGCCGTCTCTCCCTCTACTCCTACTACTCTGCTGTAGCTCTCCCCTCCTTCTCAGGACGAATGGTTTTCCCCAAATGGTTTTCCAACGCCATTCGTGTTCCTCCCCGAAGCTGCCCACTGTCCAATCACTTTTTGACAGCTCACCCTGTGGAGCCCGACTTCCACAGCATGCCCGTGCCTTCGGCGGCCTGCCCCGCCCCTTTCGGCGGCCGGCCCCGCCCCCTCAGCGGCACGCCCCCCTGTGTGGCAGTGACGCCAGCCTCTCAGTGCCTTGCTCTGTCTGGTGGTGGGGTCTGTGGAGCGCTGAAGCCCTCCTATGCTCCGCTGCCTCCCGCAGGCTGGGCCACCGGGCCCGGATAGTCGGGAGCCCCACTGGTTGTTACAGTTGGGCTTGAACTCTGGGCTTGGGTGCTGTCCCTGAGCTCTTCAACTCAAGGGAGCGGCTCTACACAGCACCACTTCCGGTTTTCTGGTGGTTAATTGGAGGTAGAGTCTCACTGCCCCAGCTGACTTCGAATGGCGATCCTCCCATCTCAGCCTCCTGAGTAGCTAGGATTACAGGTGTGAGCCACCGGTGCCTGGCTTTAATTTTTCTTTAGCATTAAAAATTTTTGTTTCTCCGTCGAATGTGAATGCTAGTTTTGCTGGATATACCAGTCTGGGTTGCAGTTATTGGTTTTCAGGGCTTGGATGGTACTTTTCCAGGCTGTCTTTGCACTGAGGGTTTACATGGAGAGTTCCGCAGTGATTCTAATTCCCTTTCCATTATCCTTCTTTGATTTTATAGAATTTAAAATCGGCTCTTTGCAATTCAGGTCTAGTGTCTTTACTACAATGTGTCTATAAGTATTTCTTCTAGGATCTTGTCTTCTAGGTGTGTTGTATGCTTCTGTTATGAGGGTGAGGTTTTCTCTTTTGAGATTGGGGGAATTTTCTGTAATACTCTTATTGAATAAGTGTTACATCCCGCTATTCTGGTATTCCTTTCCTTCATCTATCCCAAGGATACGAAGATTAGATTTCTTGGCATTGTCTAACAGTTCTTGGACTTATCTTTGGTAATTTCGGAGTGTTTTTTCCATATCTATGACTTTCTTCTCCAGCTCCTCTGTTTCGTCTTCAACTCCTGATATTCTATTTTTCATTTCATTGTTACCTGTGGCTTTCGTTGTGGTTGCAGAAATCGATCCATTTATGGTTTCGCTATCAGTTCTCAAAGTGTTAATTTCATCTTTTAATAAGGTATGTGTTGTGTCTATTTTTGACTGCATCTCTTTTTTTTTTTTTTTTTGGGTCCGGTCGTGGGGCCTGAACTCTGGGCCTGGGCGCTGTCCCTCAGCTCTTCAGATCAAGGCGAGCGCTCTACCTCTTGAGCCACAGCGCCACTTCCGGCTTTTTTTTTCTTTTTGCTTATGTGGTGCTGAGGAATCCAACCCAGGGCCTCATGCATGCAAGGCAAGCACTCTACCACTGAGCCACCTTCCCAGCCCTGCATCTCTTTTTTTAAGTCTTAGAATGCCTTTGATATTTCTTTTTGTGTACTCTTGAAATTGCTGTTGTAACTCTCATTACTTTGGCCAATTCTGCCATCTTTTTCTTATTTAATCTTTTGTCCTCCATTTCTTCTTCACTCTCACTGGAGTTCTTTCCTGGGTTGCTGCTTGCTTTGGGGTTTGGCGTGTTGTCTTGGTTGTTCAGGAATCTTGTCATCTTTCCTTGTGATTTAGATTCAGGATTTGTGACGTCTGTGGCCCAAACGCTACCTGTTGGTGTTCCACAGGCGGGAGCCCTTGTTTGGCCTCGGCTGGTTCCCAGTGGGTCCCTAACCTTAGGGCCACTGTATGTGCTCTCTTGGTGGCTCCTGATGTTAGTGGGTGCTCCTCCAGCAGCAGAAGCACAATCATGTTTTGCAGTACTGGTAGGTCAGGGTCCAGTGGCCTAGGAGGCTTAGGATCCCGGTTGGGGTACATAGCGGCTTGAGGGCATTCCTCCAGCAGCTAAAGCTTAAGCACTATTCCCAGCTCCACTTAGCCAGGCACTGGCGGCTACATCTCCCAACCGGGGTACAGAGGTTGGGGCCACTGGAGCCCTTGCACAGGTACAGGTGGGACTCGCTTCACAGGCCACTCTTCCTATAGTGGAGGGGGGCATCCCCCGTGGGGTACTCACTGATTCTGGAACTGGTTAGAGGCTGTTCACGGTGCTGTGGCGGATCGCTGTATCTATGTGCTGTAGTTCGCTGGTTGCCAATCGCCACCACACTCGGTTGCTGTGCTTGTGGGCTGAGCAGTGTGGCAGTGGGAGATCCAGGTCTGGGTTTGTACCTTGCCTCTGGTCTCTGTCTCTTGTCTACGTTGTCCGGGTCCCGCACGGTGGGTGTTTTCGTAATATCTCCTAAAGGGGGACAAAAAAGAATGAATTCAAATATAAACTATGGATTCTGGATGATAAAATATGTATTGATAGGCAGGTTCATTGATTATCACAGGTGTGGGCCCCTCCTCCCCTCCCCAGCTCAGGGTATTGAAAGTGTAGGCTGGGCACGTGTGGAGGCAGGAAGGGTTTGTGAGAAATCTCTGTATCTTCCACTTACGTTTGCTGTGAACCTAAAATTGCTGTAAAACATCAAGTCTGTTTAAAAAAACATGAAAATGAGAGTTTATCATTTTCCTTATAGAATTGGCTTTTGTGTTTGTGTGTGTACATGTGTGTGAAAGATATGAATGAGGGTAGAAACAGAATCTTGCTAGGTTGCCCAGACGCCTCAAACTTTCAAAATTTTTTTGGTGCTGGTCCTGGGGCTTGAACTCAGGGTATGGGTGCTGTCCCTGAGCTATTGTGTTCAAGTCTAGTGCTCTTCCACTTCAGCCAGTTTCACTTCCAGCCTTTTGGTGGCTAATTGGAGATAAGAGTGTCATAACTTCCCTGCCCAGGCTGGTTTTGAATTGAGATCTTCTGATCTCAGCTTTCTGGGTCGCTAGGATCATAGCCACCAGCACCCAACTGGCCTCAAAGTTTTAATTTTCCTGCCTGGCCTTTCCAAATGCTAGGATTACAGGCCTGTCCCACATCTGGGCTCATTAGCACTTAAACATAAACTCAGCTTGGTCCTAGTCATTATGATCTAAAATATGGAGACCATTTGGCTAAAATTTGACTGTGATTCAATGTTGATATTGTGTTCAATGAATTGCCAATATGATTAAAGCTGTAAATAGCTACATTGCTGTGTTTGTAGCTGATAGGTAAGTAGAGAAATAGTAGACATACACAAATGATAGTAAATCATTTAATACACTTTTATGATTCATAGTTTCCTTCCTGTCTAGAAAGACCAAATACATACAGCTCTGTGTTGTTTCTTTTGGCATCCTAAATGTGAAATATCCCTGTAGGTTTACTTTTAATTTTTCCCCTGACAAAATGTATTCAGTGTAGTTATGGACTTTGTTAATTAGGACTAGTCTGTTATTAGAAGCTTTCATTTTTAGTGATTTATTTTCAATGGGGTCGATCTAAAGTTCCTGTTACGTATAATGGAGAATTGTGAAAAAATTGTTACTTTTTTATAGCCATAGAGATTACATACAATAGGATATAGAGACATGCATTTTTACTCTGAATATTAGTAATCAATAGTCTTCAAATATTTCTTCTGTGTTTTGCCAGACACTGACAATGTGAAGCCATTGGAAGGTGTAAAAATTCTGGATCTAACAAGGTTTGTTTTGGCTTATCTATATTTTGGTGATTGAGTTTTTCCTTTCTTTCAAAAAGTTTGTGTTTTGGGTTATAAGGAGATGATTACATAGAAATGGGGGGAAGGAAGAAAAAAAGAAAATAAAAATTCCTGGAATCTAATTATTCAAAAAGATACATTTGTGAAGTAGTCATGATTTTTTGCTACAAATTCATATGTAATGTTAAAAAAACCAAAAATTAGTACTTTTTGTGTGTGTGTGTGGCAGTCCTGGAGCTTAAACCGAGGGCCTTGGTGCTATCCCTGAGCCTTTTTTTGCTCAAGGCTGGTGCTCTGCTACTTGATCCACAACTACTCTACTTAAGGTTTTTTTGGTAGTTAATTGGAGATAAGAGTCTTACACTCTCTTGCTAGGCTGGCTTTGGACTACTATCCTGAGATTTTGGCTTCCTGAGTAGTTAGGATAGCAGGTGTGAGCCACTGGTGCCTGGCTTAAAAATACTTAAAAATTCTCTTAAGTAATTGTACAAAGGGTTTTCAATTCAACCTGTCAACTTACGAGTATAATGCATATCAATCAGTGTAGACCCTTCCATCAGTCTTCATCTCTCCCAACCCCACCCATCCCCTCAAGTTACCTGGTTCCATTTTTCACATTTTTTCTAAGTATTTATTTATTTATTTGTTTGTTTGTTGGGTCTGGTTGTGGGGCCTGAACTCTGGGCCTGGGTGCTGTCCCTCAGCTCTTCAGCTCAAGGCTAGCACTCTACCACTTGAGCCACAGTGCC